AATTTGTCGCTGTGTCCTCCTGCTCTCCCCAGACAGCCCCCGGCCGGGGACCAGGCTGAACTCGTCCTGCCAGCACCAGGGGACCAGCGTCAGCTGCAGCTGCTCCCTGCGCTCCCACCCCGCACCCCAGCTTCAGTGGCAAGTGGACGGGAAGCCCCTGGCTGGGAATGGCTCATGGGGGGCCCTGCAGGTCAGCTCCTGGGCCCAGGGGGATGAGGCTGTCAGCACCCTAAGCTGGACGGGGAGCAGGAACAGAGGCCCCCAGATCTTCTGCCTCGGCTCCAACCCCCACGGGACCTACGCCGCCCTGCACTTTGACTTCAGTCCCCCGCAGAGAGGTGAGACACTTGGACTCCTGGGTTCTGTCCCCAGGTCAGGGAGCAGGAGGGAGCCTGGACTCCTGGGTTCTCTCCCCAGCCCTGGAAGAAGAGTGGAGTCTGGGAGTTGAAGGCAGGGGAGTTTGGAGCCAGGATTCCTAGATTCTATTCCCAGTTCTGGGAGGGGAGTGGGGTCTAATGGTTAGAGCAGGGGGCTGGAAGCCGAGACTCCTGGGTTCTCTCCCAGCCATGCCCTGTGCTGTGTGTTTTTGCAGGTGCGGAGGAGCCTGGCAAGCTGCTGGGCATGGGGGTGGCCTGTGGTCTGGGGATCGCTGTCGGTGTCTTCCTTCTCGGGCTCTGTGTGCACAAGTGAGTCTGATGCCTCCCGCCCTGACACCCAGCTGCCCCCACCCCTGATTTCCCATTGAGATCCCCTTAGGGTTACCATATTTTAATACCACAAGAAAAGGACACTCCACAGGACCCCAGCCCCACCCCAACTCCACCCTTCCCCGCCCCAGCCCCACTCCAATTCTGCCCCTTCCCCAAAGTCCCCGCCCCAACTCCATCCCCTCCCCTGAACACTCCGTCCCCCTGTTCTTCCCCCTCCCCTGCTTCCCGTGAATCAAATGTTCGCGGGAAGCCTGAAACAGGCAGGCAGCAGGTAAGCTGGGGCTGGGGCTGGGGCGGTGGCGGTGGTTGGGGGGCCCAAGGAGGCGCGGCCCAGTCTGGTCCCCCCGGCTCCCTCCGGTGGCCAGCCCCGGCCAAGAAGCTCTGGCCCTGGTGTCTCCGGCCCGGCTCGGCTCGGGCCCTGGGGCGCCGGCCCCGGTTCCGGCCGAGCACGCCGGCCCAGGTTCCGGCCGAGCGGCTCCGGCCCACCCCCGGCCCCAGCAGCTCCGACCGGAGCCCAAGCACCCCCAGCCCTGGTCTCAGCGGCTCCAACTCCGGCCCCAGCGGCTCCAGCCCGGACCCAAGCCCCACGACCCCTCCCTATTTTCCCAGACGTGTCGGGCTTTTTGGAATTTCCTCCTGGATGGGGATTTGAGGACCAAAAAGCCAGACATGTCCAGGAAAATCCGAACGTATGGTAACCCTAGACCCCCTGCCTTCTCCCCTGGGCTATTCCCGCTCCCATCCCAAGATCCTTTCCAACCCCTCTCCCTGGCCTATCCTAGTCCCCTGCACTCTAGTCTCCCATAATAGTGTCCGCCTTTTCTCCCTCCCCATGGGGCTATTCTACACCCCTGTCCCAGTCTCATGAGTCCATCCTGATCCGTCTCCACACAGGCTGCAAGGCCGGGAGCCGTCACCCCCCAGCAGTAAGCTCAGGGAGATGGCTAATGAGAGCCAGGCCGAGCACACAGCCGACGAGGCCAGCCTGATCTACAGTAAT